AAGGCTCTCACGCTCAAATGTGGGCCACTTGGCGCCGCTTTCTCATGTGGGAGAACGCACTGAGGACTACAGTCTGATCACCACTGCTATTGTTTTCCTATAGGTAAAAGGTCTTGGAGACGCTTGGTAGAATTGTAACCTATGGATTCTTTGCCCCACCCCACATATATAATCAGGCTCTGGTGGTAAAGTCTAAGGATCTGAATTTTTAATGAGGTCCCCAGGTGATTCTCATATGCATACTAAAATTCGAAAACTATTGAATAGAGGTGTCTTCTTTTTTAAAGTGTAGGCAATTCTTCTATGTCTATATATGTGTTTTTGAAAGCCTCATGCTCTGCAAAACTATGTGATAAAAATAACAGAACCTGAGGGAGAGTTGGAACAGGTTATTAAACTTATATAACTTTGTAACCAGGGTACCACCACCACCACCACCAACAACAAAAATAATGGTAAAAACAGTAGCACTGTGAAATCTCTGCTGGCAATTACACCCAGCGTCACAATCGGTCCTGGGCCTCCCACATCCCCCTTTGAGGAAACTTGCTTCCAATATAAAAATCCGATATAGGGTGTAGACACCTTCATCAATTATTTTTTTTTTTAACAGAAAGTAAATGTTTTCATGGCATCTTCATCAGCACTCTCAGCTTCATCAGAGAATTTAGGGGAAATTATAGGAACTTTGAATCATTTAACCAGCCAGTACTTGCATCATAGATTTTTAGCTTTTTTCCTTAAGATCTTCATATACTGTTAAACTTTCCTTTTAATTATGAGAAAGCTTGCCCCTGACACGCTCCAATCAGTTTAAAGAACTTCTTCCACATTATACTGACATTATTCCTTGATCTACCAATCACTAATGAGCTAATTTGCATTAAATCAACATGCAGTTTAAAAGAGCAGACTCTATAGATTTAACTCTGTCTTTTTTTAGAAGCCTTTTTTCCCCTACCTTATAACTGAGTTCTTTCTCAAACACGGGCATTTGTCAGATTCCATCTGCTTCATGCATTGGCCTGCAACCTCATTCCCATCTCTTAGTTCTTGCTTTCTAAGATATCATCTAGACCATTTCCCCCGTTCGTGTAAACTCATTGAGGTCTGACTGGAGCTCTGTTCCAGAAGGAGCACATGTATTCATCCTCCAATTTTCAGGATCATGGCTAGAAAGTGGTAGTCAAAGACAGGGGACTTTACATGGTCAGTAAGACATTGAATCTTTCTCCCTGGTTGATACAATAAATACATGTACATGTATAAATATCAGATGTTCAGTCGGCCTGACATACATTTTTTCAAATCTAAGTTCCATTTGTTCCTCCCTACTCCTGCCATCTTCTCCTTCTACCCTGCATTGCTTGGAGGTACATTATCTGGTCTGGTCTTTTCCCATCCAGGGCACTGTAGCCTATGTCCCACAGCAGTCCTGGATCCAGAATGGCACCGTAAAGGACAACATCCTTTTTGGATCAGAGTTGGATGAAAAGAGATACCAGCAAGTTCTGGAGGCCTGTGCCCTCCTCCCAGACTTGGAAGTGCTGCCTGGAGGAGACTTGGCTGAGATTGGAGAGAAGGTACTTGAGACACCAAGGGACCGTGAAGGGTGAAGAAATATTGAAGAAAAAAAGTGACAGTGGTGAAGAAGTACATGGGAGTAAAATAGTTGACCAATTTTGTTGGTCCTGTTTGGAACAAACATCAGAAAACACAAATTTGCAGAATATTTGGTGCAAACAACTCAGAAATTTAAAATTTTGTGCCTGGAGGCAAATACAGCAATTATGTCATCTAAAGGAAAGATGATGCAGCTAGGACCTGAGAGGTTAAGTAACCAGCAACAGGCCTGGTATTGAAGTCCAAGAGGAGGGGCAGAGGTGGGACCAGAGCCTAGTATCCTGATGCTACTTTTGGACATTAGTGAGGGCCACAGTAGGGTTCTAATAATCTGCTCCCAACGCTTAGATATTTAGTGTGGATTGTTTCCTCATGCTATTAAATTCCTTTCTGAAAAATAGACTTTTAATGACTACTGTGTATTGTATCCATTCTATGGATATAGCATAATTTGTTTAGAAATACCTGAATATTACATATTTAGGAGATTTTAATCCTCCATCCTGTTAAAAAAACAAAATTCAGCTGAGTAAATTTGAAGATCCGATTGGCTTTCTTAAATGATTCATGAATGGGTCAGCATCCCATCCAGCAACTAACTAGAAGGGTGCTCCGAGGGTTGGACAAAATGGAAATTTTTTTATTTAATTTTATTTAAAAAAAAAAAAAGAGGAGAGGAAGCTGTTAGCAAGAGGAAAAAAAGGATTGTTTGGGGGGGGCCTGAACTTTTTTTTTTTTTTTTTTGGAAGGGAAGAAAATGGGAAGTTTTTATCCTGTAGGTTGTCTCTTCTTTCTATGAGGGACAGGAAGTGGAGAGGGCCCGCAGGACAGACTGGTATTGACCAGAAAATTTCACACTGCTTCACTAAAATTATGTTTCTGGGAGAGGTTGAAACAGCAGTTAACTCAGGTGTTAGTTAAATCTGGGTTTGATATCATGGGCTTTGGCACAAGCGATGCCATTTTGGGCCCTTTAACAGACTCCATTACTAAAACTGCATAGAGCAGCCTTTGGAGACAAGGGTCTTGAAAGGTTAGAAGACTAGTGAAGATGTAGCTCTAGTGTGATTTTGTTAATTAATTCAGCATAGACTTATTGAGTACCTATGTGTCAGACACTATTTTAAGTGCTGGAGTTACATCCATGTACAAAATAGAAAAAATCTGCCCTAGTATAGCTCTGCATTCTCAAGGGACAAGAAACAACAAAAATAATAAATAAGTAAATTATGATAGAAAATGGTACGTTGGGCTATCTTTAATTATCGGGCTTAAGATGATTTACTTGAATCAAAGTTATTTATTTGTATAAAGGAACTTGTAAGATTTTTTAAGCCCTTGATACCTTATTGTAGCAAATCTTTTTTACCCCTCTGTAACAGCTGCTGTGAAGGGGGATGGTGGAGTAGTATTTAATAGAAATTATTTTCTTTTTCAGGGTATAAATCTCAGTGGGGGTCAGAAGCAGCGGATCAGCCTGGCCAGAGCTATCTATCAAAATTTAGATATCTATATTTTGGATGACCCCCTGTCAGCTGTGGATGCTCATGTGGGAAAGCATATTTTTGATAAGGTCTTGGGTCCTAATGGCCTATTGAAAGACAAGGTGAGAAATTATTTAAGGTGATACAGACATGAAGTGTGTTAGGGAGGTAGGACGGCACACATCTTGTAGGACAGCTGCTGTCCTGGAGCGGATTTCCTTATTTGTCTGCCCCCCGGGCTTCCGGTTAATGAAAGGAGCAGTTATTTAGCTAGTTACTTAATTACTTATGTATTCATCCATTATATTGATAGACTTTGATCTCAAGTGACATTCCAAAGTCCAACTCCTGGCTCTGCGGAGAGCCGGAGGAAAACATGTGTAGGGCAAACCTTATTGTTACTACAAAACGTAACTGTGAATATATCCATGATGACAGGAGTCTCATCTTACATGGGTCAGGTTGTAGGATGAGGTGCTGGGAAGGAAGGATGACCACATTTTGAAGCAAAGCCCCACAGTGAATCGAGGTATCTGTTTTCCCCTTTTTAGAGTAGGACAAGAAAGGTGGAGGACACAGAGTCATCAGCACAACTTACTGTTATTTTCACAGACTCGACTCTTGGTTACACACAGCATCCACTTTCTTCCTCAAGTGGATGAGATTGTGGTTCTGGAGAATGGCAGCATCTCAGAGAAGGGATCCTACAGCACTCTACTGGCCAAGAAAGGATTGTTTGCTAGGAATCTGAAGACATTTATAAAGCAGACGGGTCCTGAAGGAGAAGCCACAGGTATGTAAGGAGGATTGGAATAAGGTAGAATTTGAGTATGGAAAGAGGTGGGAGTGGTAAACCGATATCTACCTCCTAACCTACTCAGTATCCACTAAACTAGACTTGAAAGAAACACATAGAAACTCTATGCCTGAGCCAAACTGGAGGCTTATCCTGCTCATCTGGTCTCTGACATGAAATCAAAGGGCACTTTTCAGAAGGCTATGACTGGAGGTTTGGGATAATTAGCCCTTGTGGAAGAAATGCCAGTGGCACAAGGGACCCCTGCTTCTACTGATTTAGGTCACACATCCCACCCCGCCTACCCCAAATCCATGAAAACTACTTCCTGGACAGCTTCATAGGCTGGTACTCATAGTGTACTGTTAAATTCTTGATAAACCCTACCAAAGAGCTCTTGACTAAGATACCAAAAACCACAGCGTGTTTTGAACTAGAAAAAATCATGGCAGTTGTACAGTGTCACTGTATACACAGGAATAGCCCCTAATACCACCACTGTTGGGATCACCAATTAGCTCCAGTCAGCAATAGAGCCTTGTTCTCTGGGGTCCTTCGCAAGAACCTTCAGTGTTCCTGCGCATAGTTCCAGGTATTCCCTTCAGGGAGCCGTCATCTGCAGCAGGTCAGGACTGAGAAAGCAAGCCCTGGAGGGTGCAGCGGCATTTCAGAATTCAGTCAGAAGAGCGGGGAGTAGCTATAGAGCCTGCAAGTGGGAGCATATTCAGGCCTTGAGGTCAGGACATGTGATGATTTTAAACCACTCTTGCAAAAGAGAAGGAAAGGAAAGACTGTGAAGTCTATATAAGGGTTGGGGGTACAGGGCAGGAACAAAGAACAGGATGGTGTAGGTGACAGGGATCAGGAACCAGCCCAGAAGGGTAGGGCAGAGGCACCAGGAATCAGCAGAAAGAAAGGAGTCAGAGCTTTCCATCAGCCTTTATGTGGTCCAGGGACGGCCCTGGAGAAACAAAAGGCACCCATCTGGGGAATGAAGGCCCACGCAAAGGCCCGTGTCTGCTGCTGGATCCCTCTGAGTTACTGTTCAGCCAATCACATCACTGTGGCCTGGACAGTTTTATTACACTAATTCCAAACTTTTTTTTTTTTTTTTTTTTGCCTGAATCTAAGTTTCTAGATTCTGTTATTAAACCCCCATCGGTGGACAGCCCCTTTGGAGAATCATATCTTTTATGTACAAAGGACAGTCTGCAAACTAGCTCATTAAGCCCTTGTTCTGGTAAATACTGATAGGCTGTTTCTGAGCAGTTACGTAAGCCCTAGTGCCTGGCATGCTGTTGTGTTGGTTCTGGAACTTGAGGTACTGACCGTGAGATGGTAGAATGAGGGGAAGGGCAGGAGGGCAAGGTGACTTGTATCAATATTGGCTCTGGGTATTAGCTTTCTAATTAGCTGCCGTGACAAAGCACTACAAACTGGGTGGCTTAAACAACAGAAATGTATTGTCTCACAGTTCTGGAAGCTAGAAGTCCAAAATCAAGATATCAGCAGGGTCAGTTCCTTCTGTGGGCTCTGCTCCAGGCCTCTCTCCTAGCTTCTGATGGTTTGCTGGCAGTCTTTGGCATTCTGGAGTAATAGACACATGCAATCGATCTCTGCCTTCATCTTCACATGGTGTTCTCCTTTGTCTGCATTTCTGTGTCCAAATTTTCTCTTTTATAAGGATATCAGATATACTGGATTAGGCATTCAGTCTGACCTCATCTTAACTAATTATATTACTAATTACTAATGACCTTGTTTCCAAATGAAGGCACATTTTGAGGTAGGAGGGATTAAGATTTCAAAATATGAATTTTGGGGATATACAATTCAACCTATAACATCTATTCTCTGGCACTCCAAAATTCATGTCCTTATGTGCAAAATATATATTCACCCCATTCCAACATTTCCCAACGCTTAATCATTTCAATATCAATTCTAAGCCCAAAATCTCATCTAAATGTCAACTCAAAGACCCAAATTTCATGATCTAATTCACCCAAGTTAGTTGTGGGTGAAACTTGGAGACTTAGGTCAAAATTCCTCTTCATCTGTAAACCTGTAAAACCAAACAAGTTATCTGCTTCTAAAATACAATGGTGAGACAGGCACAGGATGGACATCTCCATCCCAAAAGGGAAAAATAAGAAGGAGAAAACGGGTCACAAATCCCAAGCTTGTCTAAAATCTAGCAGGGCAAGTTTCATTAGATTTTAAGATTTGATAATAAACTTTTTTGGCTTGATGCTCTGTTATCGGGATCACCAGGGTAGTGGTTCTGCCTTCTCCTGCCTTGGGAGATGGTCCCAACTTCTGGAACTGGGAAGCAGCCAGGGCCTGAATTGCCTTCTGGGTCATTTTTCTCTTTTCTTGAAGGATAACACCTGTTCACAGCTGAATAGCTCTATTTAGCAATTTTCTGTTTATAAAATCCTTGAATTCTGACAGCATTCGAGGATTAGAGATAAGACCTTTTGTCTTATCTCTGTCCCCTGCAGTACAAGCTGGCAGCATTTTGCTAAGATGGTTGATTGGATAAAGTCACCTGCCTAATCTTTTTAGCAAATCTGCTGTTGAGCCTTTCTAATGAATTTTTCAGGTTCCTGTGCTTATCAACTCTAGAATTTCTATTTTCTTTTTAAATAATTTATATCTTTTTATTGATGTTCTCTATTTGGTGGTAACTTATTTTCATACTTTCCAGTAAATCTTAGATATAATTTCCTTTGCTCGTTGAACATACTTTTAATAACTGATTTAAAGTCTTTGTCTGGAGGGAAGAGAGGAGGAGAGAGGTAGATGGGGTAAAAGGGGTCAAAGATGTAGTGACAGAAAGAAATCTAACAATGGGAGGGGAGCACACAGTGTGATATATATATGCCTTACTGTTAAATTGTTCACTTGAAGCTTACTGGATTTCGTTGACCAATGTCACCAATAAATTAATTAATTAATTAATTAATTTTAAAAAAGAATAAAATTGAAATTTTAAAAAATAAAAAAATAAAGTCTTTGTCCGGTAAGTCCAATGTCTGTGCTTCCTCGGGAATAGTTTCTGTCTGTTGACTGCTTTTATTCTGTGTATGGTCTCAATTTCCTGCTTCTTTATATGTCTCATAATTTCTTGTTGTAAACTAACTAACCATTTTAAATCATATAACCATTCTGGAAATAAGATTTCTTTCTCCTCCTTTCTCTGCCAGGGTTTCTTGTTGTCGTAACTCCTGTTTAGTTTTCTGAACTAATTCTGTTAAGTCTGTATTCTGTGTCCCGTGTAGCCACTGAAGTCTCTGCTTGGTTGGCTTGGTGGTCAGCCATTGATTGGTGGTCAGCCATTCCTTAAATGCCTGGAACCAATAAGTTACTCAGCCTTTGCTGAGAGGCTGTGTGTGTGTGTGTGTGTGTGTGTGTGTGTGTAGAGGGGTGGGGCATATCTTTGACATGCTAGCGGACAACTTACAATTCTGCCTCAGCCTTTGTTTCCTGCTTGCACAGAGCCTGAAGGTTAGGCAGAAGTGAGAGAATAGGGCCTTCTTAAGTTTTTCTTGGGTACGTGCACAGCCCCACACATGTGTATGACATTCTAGATTGCCAGGACTATATTGAAGATATCAAAACTCCTTTGGGATATCTTGTTCCCCAGCTTTTCCTTTTAAGTTTTTGGTCACTTTCTTATTTATTCCAACTATAATCACCACCTCAGGAAGCTGTAATTATAAACAATTGCTGCTGATTGTTTCAGCTAGCTTTAAGTCAGGTCCAATAAAGACCAGCCTTGAAAATGGGGTTTTCCGGGGAACAAGTCAAATAACTTTTGGGGGCATTCTAAACTCAATCTGTTCCCTCCAGCAGCTGCTAGGCTGCTGATTTTCATGGTTACCAGGATTGTGAGGCTGTTGGTTTTCTAGGCTACAGCAGATCTGAGAAGGGGATGGGAATAGAGTAAACTATCACAAAGCTTACTGTTCTTAGTGAGATTTAGTCATTTTTCTTAAATAAATGCTCCTTGGATAATTGACAGCCTTTGTTTAATTTCAGAGTAAAAAAAAAAAAAAAAAAAAGTTCACTTTAACAATTTTTTACCAGTATTCTCACAGCTTTTTTTAATTTCTGGAGGTCTTTACTCTACCATTCCCATTGGTGCCCAGGCTATGTTTACATTTTATTTTATTTTATTTTATTTTATTTTTTTCAGTGTATGTTTTTAAAATGCTTTAAATTCATAAAAGTTTGTCAAATTATTGGAATTTCAAGAAGTGCATTATTAATTTACACTCACCACTTTAGTCATTCTGGGTAATTATGACTCTTCTCTTTGTCCACTAAAACTCTTAAAAATTCTTTCCTGCTCCAAAGAAATTTAGAACCTTCTGGGAATACTTTTTTCCTTTTTGACTATTTTCTCTTCCAGTGGAATATTAACTCCTCTCTCCTTTATCCTGGTGTTTCTCAATGAGAAAATATACCAATAAGTAGTATTTCTAGAGTAAAAGATTCCAGCTGCGTGTACATCCAGGATCTCTTGCTGAGGTCAGCAAGATCAGAAAAGCCTTCTCTCTCATGGTTCAAAGGGCTGTGAGAGCTCTCTGCAACTATCTCGCTAACCTTTGATGTGTCTCCTAGTCAATGAGAACAGTGAAGAAGACGACTATGGACTGATGCCCAGTGTGGAAGAAATCCCTGAGGATGTAATCTCCTTGACCATGAAAAGAGAGAACAGCCTTCATCGAACACTTAGCCACAGGTAGGTCATTTTTTCAGCTGGCAGCCCTCATCGCTCCCATATTTCCTCTCGACCATTCTCTTTTTCTTTGTGGGCTTTTTTGAAGGTAGTGGACACCATGAACACTCATAGTTCTTCCCTTGTTTCTTTATATGAGGAGGAGGGTTGGAGTGATGTGTTTACACCCAGGGCCATCTGCTATGAAATGCACACTGAGCAAGCAGAGCAGCTGTGATATCTGCTTGCAAGAAGACCCTCAGGATCTACATACTCAGGAAAACTTTTCCCCTCTCCATCTCTCAGATCTAGATCCAATAGCAGGCATCTGAAGTCTCTAAAAGACTCCTTGAAGACTCGGAGTGTGAATATCCCAAAGGAAAAGGAAGAACTAGTGAAAGGACAAAAGCTAATTAAGAAGGAATTTATGGAAACTGGAAAGGTGAATACTACAATAAAAAGTACCATTAGAGGTGATATAAGGCTTGGGATCCCAACATTTGAAAGTTTGATGACTTGAATATGTGGCTCATGTTTTCTTCACAAATCTTTAAATTCATCATTGAAATCTTGGTAGAGCCTCTGGACTTTCTATCAAATCATATATCCACGAAGAATGATAGGTTTCCTGTGAATATCTTCATAGCACACTTCATGAGTGTTTGATTCCATTCTGATATGTACAGAAAACAACAAAACTTCTTTGAGATGAAATACTGAGAACACTAATATATTAGTCTCAGAGAATGCAGTTCAAATTTACAAAGCTTAAAACCAAGGTCTTAAATTTAAAGTCTTAACTAAAATCCAAATTAATAAAACAAATTCCAAGATCTGAAGTATAATACTATCTGTCTCATTCCATTTTTCTATCTTCCCCTCTTCCTTGCATTTAGAAGCTCATTAATTCTCTGATGATTATTTACCTTGCACTGTATTTCGGCATTGATTATTATCCTGGCCCAATGCAGAAATGATAACAACAGACTAGTAAATTTTACTACTTGCGATCCACTTTTCCAGGAGATTTGTATTCTAGGTAATTCCTCACCAAAAGCTATTAGGAATTCTACTAACATTGAGGTTGGGGCTTTGTAGGTGAAGTTCTCCGTCTACCTGAAATACCTACAAGCAGTAGGATGGTCTTCAGTTTTCATCATCATCCTTGCTCATATATTCAATGCCGTGGCTTTGATTGGATCCAACCTCTGGCTCAGTGCTTGGACCAGTGACTCTAAAATCTTCAATAGTACCAACTACCCAACCTCTCGGAGGGACATGAGAATTGGTGTCTATGGAGCTCTGGGATTAGGGCAAGGTACGTCTGTTGGCTACGATAACTATTTTTTAAAGAATCTCTCTGGTCCATGTACTTTTGCCTGGACTCAGGAAAAAAAATCTGCCATTATATTCTTTGCAGAAGTCTTCAGGAACCCCTGTGCATGGTGCTGACTAAATCGGTTCCATTTCTAGGTATATTTGTGCTCATAGCCAATCTCTGCAGCACCTGTGGTTTCACCCATGCATCAAACATCCTTCACAAGCAACTGCTGAACAAAATCCTTCGAGCGCCCATGAGTTTTTTTGACACAACACCCTCAGGCCGGATTGTGAACAGGTTTTCTAGTGTAAGTATCTAAAGGGCTGTAAGACATCGTGTTTATATGTTGAAGATCTTTTTATTTCTGACAGGGAAAGAATTCTCATGTTCCTCTGGGCAACGCTGTGTAGTTCCAGTTTTCTTGTCCACTCAGTATGTGGATACAGGGATGAACAGTTCTGGCCCTTTAAGTAGATCACCATCTAGTGAATGAAACGGCCAAGGGAATAAAGAATTGTAATAGAAATGGCAAAACCAAAATACAATGATGTGCGCAATGTTGTTCTGGGAGTACAAAAGGGGGACAGAGAAAAGAGGTACTATCTCAGTCTGGGTGACTGAGGGTGGGAAATGTCACATATGGTGACACTTGAGCTAAGTAATAGAAGTTAGCCAGGGAGATGGTGGGGGTAAGTGGCAGATGGTGGCAGTAGAAACAGGATGAGAAAAATTATTCTGCAGAGGGAAAAACACAACAGCACTGCCACTGGCTGTCACAATGAGTGAAAGGAATAGCAGAATAACCCTTTGCTTAGTCTCTGCCTCTATTCCTGAAACCACTATCTTTGATGCCTTAAGAATAAGAAAATTTGGTCTGGATTATGGAAGACAGAGACACCTATGATTTTAATGAGGTTCTAAAACATTGTCTCCATCTACTTCAGATCCTAGAACACTTAACATTCATTCATCCATTCAAGCAGTTAGTCAATGGCATTTATTGAGCACCTTCTATGAGCCAAGGACTATACTAGCCATTGGAATGCTCAATAAATGTTAAGATCATAGGTGGTTCTCTTCCATGGGCCAGACCAAACTCATTGATTCTTATTGCTTTTGAGATGGAAATTCAGGAACAGAGGCAGAAACCAAGCGATTCTGAGTAATATTCAACTCTTATAAGCACAGTTTTCAGTCCTCTGTATAAGAGGGAGCACATATTTTTTAATGTCTGAGTAGCTCTGGATCCTTATTTGGTTGGTCTTGAAGCAGATACAGAAAGTCTAGCTTATAGCCCACAGCCAAGTTTAGTCTTCTGTAGAAGAGGGAGCACATATTTTAAAATATCTAAGTAATCTTATTTGGTTGGTCTTGGAGCAGACACAGAAAGTCGAGCTCATACCCCATAGCCAAGTTCTGGTGACACAGTAACTGCTTCAATCGTGGGATATGACTGGTCCCATTTATCACCTTCCTCTAGGACAAAAACATTGGACATGGTGTCATTAGAGACAACTTCAATGGCCTCTCTGCTCTTTAATAGAACCTAAGAAAGCATGCCATTTTGAATGGGGAGATTTCTCACAGGAATTTTACAAAGATTGCAACTCTTTTCTGATGTTGTAATATATAATTAATCTTCTGAAAAAGAGAATACAGAGATCTTACTGTGAGTTGCTTAGGCAACAGTCCTATTTTGCTAACTGCTTTTTCATGAAAAAGGAGACTGTCATTAATTATATAGTGAGTTTTGTAGGGGAGGTGTCTCAGGCTCATAAAGGAGTGTTTGATCTAGGGTCCTCTAGAACTGGTGACTGAGCCCTTAAGAGGAGATGAAGGAGTGGGTGAAGGAAAGAAAGATGGAGAATCTGTACCAGGTAAGGGTCAAAAGTAATGTACACAGAACTGATAGCTGGTGAGGATTTTTTTTTCTTCCAACCTTGAACATATTGTTATTTGCATTCTGATGTGACATTGGGAAGAGCACTTTAGACTCAGGAGTTATCCATTCTTCAGGGCTCTCTTGAAAAACTGTTAACCCTTACCCAGTTTGGGATACTCCAGAGATACTCACTTTGATACGCACATATTCCTAATCCCAGAATCAATACAATCTAAGAAATATAGGCAAGGGAAATTCAAAATATAAGCCAGTCTCCCTGTGTGTACTAAACCATCCCTCATCCATCCATCCAACCATCCATCCATCCATCCATCCATCCATCCATCCATCCATCCATCCATCCATCCATCCATCTATTTGTTCATTTATTCAACATGACATGAAGGTGATATGGTAGTAAGACCTAACCATCATCTCTGAGCTCCTCTGTTAGAACACTGGCCATGCAGGGATCACATTTTATCTTTACTTCCCTCTCTCCTTGAAGCCTGTGCTCAGCATAGGAAGCAAATTCCCAGGTAGAGGATGGTTGTTATGTCAAAGGTGGGTGATAGGGCCTCTTGACTGGAGTCTCCAAACAAATGTTTATTGAATGCATGTTATATGCCAGGCTCTGTTCTGGCTATTCAATAAAATTAAGACCTGTGTAAAGTTAGAATAATTGAATTGGCTCAGCTATAGAAGGATTTATCCTGTAAGGCTATATTTGTTTACAGTGGTTATATTTGCTTACAGTGGTTATAAATGGTTTAACAAATTTGACAAATGGGAATTTCACCGAAAAGAGTAAAAACCTATGCTAAATCTATTTTTAAAAGGTGAAGGGTGACTGCTGTATTTTTAGAGGGATTTAGGAAGATAAAAATATTACAAAAATGAGATTGGTTTGGAGGTGAACAGAACAGTCTATCGCAAATGAATATTATGAAATGATTAAAAGAAGGAATCACTAAGGACCCAGAATTGAACACATTTCCTGCTGGAATCAGGAAAATGTAAAATGTTGTAGGAATTCATTAGTATACCATCTCTCCTTATGTGTTTCTAGGATGTTTCCACGATGGATGACACCCTTCCCGCGTCCTTGCGCAGCTGGATTTTGTACTTCCTGGGGATAATCAGCACCCTTCTCATGATCTGTTTGGCCACTCCAGTCTTCGTCGTCATCATCATTCCTCTTAGCATCATTTATGTGCTTGTTCAGGTAGGAGCTAGGTCTCCTTTCCTCTCTGTTTATAGACTCTCAGACTCCTTCCTGAGAATCTCTTTTGTTTATTGCTAGTCACTTGTTCCTCTCTAGCATCTTTGTGATTTAGTCATATATTAATATACCAAGGAGCCCATAGGCCATTGTCTAAAGATGAAGTATCAGCGCCAACTGGTATACAGTTCACAACATATCTCACCTTAACTGCTGCCCCTCTAGAATCTTAAGTAGGGCATATTTATGTTTAGATACTACTTTGAGGATGGCTCTGGACAAAGTATTGAAGGTCTGTAAGCATCTCCCCCACCCCCCGCCACACACACACACACAATGGTTAGTTCATTGGTTGCATCTAGAAAAGTCATGCTAAGGCTGTTTCCTTGGTTAGCTTAGGCTTTTCTACTTGGATGTGTCTCTCAGTAGTAGCTAGATCTCATTTTACTTCGGAGAAGTTCTAGTTTCACTGGGGTGTCTTTGGATGGCTTAGACTCAATTGCAATGTGTTTTTGAAGGAACAGGTAGTTTGAGAGCCAAGCCTCACAGAAATACTGGAGCAAGTGGAAAGGACTCCATGCCCATAATAAAAACCAATGGGAGGGAAGCTGTTAAGAGATTCTTGTCCCACCAATTACCTTTGGGATGAACTGTTCACCTCACGGAAACAATCTTTCTTATTTTCATCCTCCTCAATTCCCCACCAACTTCAGACCTTCCCACCATCCTCTTCCCCTGGTCCTGTCTCATCATTCCTTTAGCCAGAGGTGAAACTGGAGGCTTCTGTCCTGTTCAGATGTAGGCTGTGTCCATCAAGGTGAAGAACACTGGGTCATGGTCACAAAGGAAGAGGTACGACATATGTGACATGATTGTGTAACTAACTGACTTTTTACTTTTGGGGTCCAGATATTTTATGTGGCTACTTCCCGCCAGCTGAGACGTCTGGACTCTGTCACCAGATCCCCAGTCTACTCTTTCTTCAGTGAGACTGTGTCAGGTTTGCCTGTCATCCGCGCCTTTCAGCACCAGCAGCGATTTCTAAAACACAGTGAAGTATTGATTGACAATAATCAGAAATGTGTCTTTTCCTGGATTATCTCCAACAGGTGAGGCTTCCTTGGGTATATATCCAAAAGTGTGCTTTGAGATTCTGTATGTTTGACATTAGCTGTGGGAGAACAGGCATAGCCAGCAAGTGAAAGTCACTCTGGCCAAACCCATGTAAGTAGAGAGAAGAAAGCATATGCTTTGGAGTCAGAAACTGGAACCCTGTGCCTGTTCTGCCATGTACCAAGCTAGGTAAATTGCCATCACCTCTCTAAGGAGAATCTCATTTTCTTTGTTTTTACAATGGCTAGACCATAACCTATCTCACAGGCTTATGGTGAAAGTCAAATGACATCTGTGAGCATTTTGTAACAGGTACTGCATGAGGGTTGGGTGAACTGGACATTCTCTGTTTGCTTCCCTGACAGTAGGTATAAGATTCTCCGTAGGCAGGACAACACTTTGTAGGTTAGCAAACAAAGCAGGGGTTGGAGGGAGGACAATTGGGAATTTTCAGGTAAAGCCAATGGTGACAGAAATGGAAAGCTCACATCCTGTGAGGAGAATCCCTGAGAAGGGTGAGCATTCTTCATTTCTCTAGCATCATCAGACCCTGGCAAGAAGTGGTGTATCCTTGAAGGAGAAAGGTCTTATAGAGGAAGTGGGAATTCTTAACTAGCTTCCATATTATCTTGAGGTAGTAAGGGCAAACTAATGATACTCAGTATTATTTGGAACATGCAGAGGTCAGAAATCTGATTGTAAAGATATTTTATTTCTTAGGTACTTTGCAAGAAAGAAACAGGCATATAAGTCATTAACCTATTGGATCCCCCATTGTAAATATGTATCATATTTATTTGTGCACATGCTAGAATTATTGGTACAAATTTATTTAAATACATTTTATTTATGTTTATAACTATGTCTATCCATATCTCATTCAGTTCTCTACAAACCCACAACACATCTCTCTGCGATCAGCTTGCACCTAACTTCCCTCCACCTCCATCTTCTTCTCTACCATTTTAAAATCATGAAACCAGACAAGATACATTGAACCTTGCTGTGGTGTTTATTTTCTAACTTTACATATAGATTCTCTATGCCATTATTTCCCCTTGCCTAATAGAGAGAAATTTCTTGGCACGTTTGTTAAAAATGCAGGTTTCTGAACCCTAGTCTAAGCTCCCTGAGTCAAAATCCCGAGAAAGAGTCCAGATATTTTGTGTGTGTGTGTGTGTGTGTGTGTGTGTGTGTGTGTGTGTGTGTGTGAATTTGTGTATTTAAACAATCGCCCCAGATAATTCTTATGATTTGGCAAGTTTGGGAGACATCGAACCATAGATTTCCTTAGTTCAGTAAATGCCTCTGATATCTCTAAAATGCAATTTATTTTTAAAATGCAACTTAAAACACTTTAAGAACACATAGTATAGTCAAATTGAGACACCTGCTAAGAATACCCTACCAACTCAAGCCCTCTGCGAATGTTCTATAAACACGTAGGTTGCTGGGTAAGGTAAGGAAGTGGATAACTCTCAGTGACACCTCTCTCTCTGGTTCTGTTGCCCTGTAGGTGGCTTGCAATTCGTCTGGACCTGGTCGGGAACCTGGTTGTCTTCTTTGCTTCCTTGATGATGGTTATTTATAGAGATAACCTAAGTGGAGACACGGTGGGCTTTGTTCTGTCCAATGCACTCAGTGTGAGTCTGATGGTTGGGAATTTGGATAAATCAATGAACTTATTCTTAAATTGAGCATAGAGTATACCATGTTCTTGATTCTTTTCTAGATCCGAGGCACTAGAGGAGACTAAGCTTTAAACCCTGGCTCTGTCTCTAACTGTAATCCATGGACATGCTCCTTACCCTTTCTAAATAGGTACCAGTGTCGTCAGGAAAAATAGATATAAATTTTGTTGCCCTTGGAAGTTAAGAAACCAATTTATTATGATTCCATCTAATAGTTCCCTGCCTCTCTGCTTGATTCTAGTCCAAACAAAGAATAAATTAGTTTCTTTTCCATAATATAATAGTAACCATAAAGTCTTTTGAACAAATAACTTCTCCTATGTTTGTTTTTCTTAGATCACAAATAATTAGAGCTAATTCTAGTAAAGAATATAGAGTCCAATAAAACTCCCAGCATGACGAGGGAATAAATGTTAAACATTACTTCTTAGCACCTAAGACAGTGGCTGGCACTACAGTAAATGTTCCATAAATGATACTCATTTAATAAGCCATTTGGCCATCTTTCATGGTATCTTTTTAAACTAAAATATTAGAGGTTTGCATAGCCACCAGCACACTCCATACGGTGCTGTCTACAGTAAGAGTTAATAAAGGCCAAGGTGATCATGTTGGGCACCCAAAATAACTCTGTTGTTCACCAGAGTCACTCAGTTCCTTATGTCACTGCCCTTTTATCGCTCCATTTTTAGGCTTATTAACCTGGACAGGGCAGATAGGGCAAAGAGAGAACTATTAGACTGAACCCAAACAAAAACATCCAAATATCAACAATTCCACGTGGTTCAAACTACACACAGTGGTTACTCTTAGTCCCCACAGTCCTGTGCTGTCCTTCTCTCTAAGCAGCATTTGCTCGCCAAAAGCTCCCTGTTTTGACTCTTTGCTTGAAAAAAGCTTGTGTATGAGTAATCCACAGATGTCCCGGACTCTAGACAAGCCAGGATCATGACCACCCTCTGCCTGGTGGTTAGATACATCTTTGTAATGGCAGGAAGGCCCCTGCAATTTATTGGGGTAAAGGAGGACAAGAGTTTATGTGGATGTCCGCCTTAAGGGCTGAGTTCTCAATTGAGCTGTTAATTAAGAGCAGAGAGAAGAGGCAGCTTTTTGGAAGGCTTTTTCCTACCTTGTATCTTTTCTTATGCTTTCCCCATTTGTAGAATGCCGCCCACCACCCTTTCCACAAAGAAACAGTAGGCTTAAAGGCAGGAGATGTCTGGTCCCACTCCACCAACTTCCAGCCTCTCCAACCCCAGCCTTAGCCCCAAGCCACCCCAAGCTCATGTTGCTTTTCATGTGATCACGACACAGTTGAGCACTTGGCTGTCCTCCAGGCATTCGATGCTCTGGTCTCATTTTTCTCCCCCAAGTTAGTAAAGATTGTCACTTACACTTTCCTTGCTCTCTTGTAGAGTTCAGCATAGTGCCAAGTACAAAGTAGGCACTGGATTGACCTTGTGGTTTGACTAGTTGCATTGGTTTATGAGCCTGGGATGATCTTTAATCTTCTGGTTTTTCTGTAGATCACACAAAGCCTGAGCTGGCTAGTGAGGTTGACATCAGAAATTGAGACCAACATTGTGGCTGTTGAACGAATAAATGAGTACATAAATGTGGAAAATGAGGTAAGGGGGAATTAGAAGAACTCAGGGACAAGGGAGGAGGTGCGGAGAAGGAGAGGGAGAGACGGAGGGAGAAAGAAGGAGAGAGAGAGAGAGAGATGACTCCTTTGAGAGAAAATCTTCACCTTGTCTAGAGAACACATGTGGGAATATAAAGGTGATCCTAAAGTCCCTCGCTCTAGCTCAAAGGGCCCAACTTCTTGAAACTTAGAATAGGAAACAGTTTGGGGGAGGTCAGGCCTTGGAATACACTGGGTTAAATGGTGGCTCTATTCTGCAAATCCACGGGACAACCTCGTGGGATGGGGTTTCTTTAATTGAATAAAGTAGGAACCTCTGAAAGTCCCAGTGTATTTCAATCCATTCAGTGCAGATGCCCACAGGTAGCTGGGACACTGCTACCCTTCTGCTCTGCGACGTGAGTCCCATGCGGACTGTTCAGCGAATCGACTCTCCGTAAAGCACTTCTCCCTGTCTCCTTGACAGGCACCCTGGGTGACTGATAAGAGACCTCCAGTAGGTTGGCCCAGCAAAGGGGAGATCCAGTTTAGAAACTACGAAGTACGGTACCGACCAGAGCTGGATCTGGTACTGAAAGGGATCACTTGTGACATCAGGAGCATGGAGAAGGTAGGTAGAACTGAAGAAGGTCCTGAATGTAAGTCCTTGTGATCAGAGGACTGTTGGACAGAGGTAGTGAGCAGCTGGACTTTTTTTGGGTCTTCATCATTCAGATGGAGTGAGTCAGGGCACTTCCTCTCCAGAGAAGGTATAGAGACACACCACCACCATCAGAGGGCAGGATATCGACATGGGATCAAACAGACTCACTGGGGCTGGAAGGGCTTTTTTGTTCAGCCCTTCCGTGCCTCCCTGCAGGCATTGCTTCTCCAGTGGCTGACCTCAGGCTCATTTTCTGTAAGAACCAAGGCTTCTAGAGAAGAAGTCAGGAAGCACCTGGCCTGGGGAAGGAACTGGTGAGAACACTAGTGTGGAGATTCTCCCTGCAGAGAGAAGGGCTTAGTTCTCCTTCTGGTCTGCAAAGTCCTGCACCCTCCTACAGTGTTCTTGTTCTACGAGGACTTAGGGTCTGATGTAGGACCAGAAAATGTCAGGATAAGGTTGCAGAGGTCCATGACAGGATCTGCTTCTCAGTTGACGGCAGGCCCGGTCCTTCATCTCTCCACACTTCTAAACAAAGATTTTTTTTTTTTAATCTATAATTTCCAATAATAATTATAACAGCTGCTAATGTGTCCATTTCCAACAGTAGCTGTCATTCTCAGCAAGCAACAATTTAGGAGGTGGGATGAGAAGGCAGTCATTTTCTGACATCTGCCTCCCCCCGCCTCCCAAAAAAACAAAATCAGTTTAACATTTTAGAGATGTAGCAGCCAATCCCTGTCTCTTACCACCTGTGATTATGACTGCCCCAGGCTCAATTTTTGCTCACCAAGAATCACATGGTGAACTAACCTGCAAAGGAATTTTTTACAGATTGGTGTGGTGGGCAGGACAGGAGCTGGGAAGTCATCCCTGACAAACTGCCTCTTCAGAATCCTAGAGGCTGCGGGTGGCCAGATCACCATTGATGGGGTAGATATTGCTTCCATTGGGCTCCATGACCTCCGAGAGAAACTGACCATCATCCCTCAGGTGAGCTCTAGAACTTACTCTGTCACACACAGCAGGGGACAGCTCGTTCTGCAGAAAAACATGTGCATCTTCTTCTTGACGTAGATTCAATTAGCAGTCTCATTTCTGCAGCCTACCCAGGATGCCTAAGCTAGCTTCCTACAACACATTGTTTTCAAACTCACAAAAAAAAGTTTTGCATTTTGGGGGATATACTTGTGTGGCTGCCAGTATTTAACCAGCAGGTGGCAGCAACACAACGGAAGTCAAATAGAGCAGATGATTATTTAGCATTTCTGTAGCCCATCACGGTTCACAAGACCTTTGCAACCAGCATTAGCAGTTTGGTTGCTGAAGCTTGAAACCATTAAGCTTTACATTCCCCCATTTGACATGGTTAAAAGATAGGGGAGGAAATTTGCTGCAGGTTTCTGCCAACAAGGCGAATGCTTAGTGCATCAGCAAGAAAGGCTTCCACAGGGTTTTTTGGACCCCACCAAATAAGGACTGCCCTGGAGGCTTCTTGGTGGTACCTGGAGCTTCATTAGAACCATTCCTCCTCTGCTCACTGCTGCCACGTCTCTGCGGGTGGTTCTGGTTTGTCTGGGGTTCGCTCAGTTTGATGCACCCATTTCTCCAGCTTCCTCAAAGGCATAATAAATTCTTCTCCTGTGACTATACCACCCTTGATCCCTCCACATCCACACCATGAGTTTTCTTTTGGGAGTTTGGGACAGTCTTCTTCCCTAGTAAGAGATGCTAAGACAAATTTGGAAATCCATAAATAAATCTCAGAATGAAAAACAAGACAAAACAAACAAACAAAATCCCCCAAAACAAAGACTCCTCTTAATCCTGTGCTTAGCTCCCCCAGCTGGCAGCCACTCTAAACCTTCAGAGGGGAAACTACAAAAGCTTAACCACTAACCAGCTTTCTCTCTCGGGCCAGTCCTACTCTCTTTCTCCTGACCACAAAGTACTGCTAGTCCTTTCTCTGTCATTAGCCCAGTAACCCCCTTGTCCCTGGACTTGCAGGATCCTATCCTGTTCTCTGGAAGCCTGAGGATGAATCTGGACCCTTTCAACAACTACTCAGACGAAGAGATATGGAAGGCCCTAGAGCTGGCTCACCTCAAATCCTTTGTGGCCAACCTGCAACTTGGGTTGTCTCATGAAGTGACAGAGGCTGGCGACAACCTTAGGTAATGCTTCATAACCCACCTCCCCCACAGGCAGTGAGAGGAGCCTTTGTTTCTTGTGCTAGGTGGTACCTGGCATCATAGAATTTTCACTCTCCAGGTCTAATTCCCAATGTGTCCTGTGAACCCATTGTGAAGATGATCTGATAGAATAGATGTGAACACAACAGAGCTCTTGAAAACCTTTGTTAGAACATATGTCTTCATAAGACATCATTACACAAAGTAAGCTTACAGATCCTGCCATGGTGGAGGTTTTTCACTTAGCTGCTCACTGCAATAAGGATGAAAACAATCCCAATGCCTGGTCTGACCCTAGGGAGTCTGATTTCATTGGTATGAGGTGTAGGCTGGATGTAGGAGTTCTAAAGGATCCCGAGTGTTGCTATGGGAATCCCAGTTTGAGCAGCACTGGTCTCAGGTGATGGGGATGTGGTGTCCGAAGTCCATGGGCACTTGGAACAACTTTAACCAGCCCAGAGACTCTCTTGGCTTCCCAGTTCTTTTTACCTTTCCAAAGCTTTTCTATGTATGTGGACTTCACACTTCTGGTCTTCAGTATGTGCTTACCTGTCGGCTTATAAGTTGACCTGGCATTTTCCCTATGACAATTGGGTTTTTCCTTCCACACACTGAAGTTCAGACCTCAGCCAAAGCCCACTGCTCAGAGGTAGTTCTTGCTCCAGTCCTGGGTACCTTCAGAGTGGTAGGCAAGGCATGGACCATTAGCAAGTGAAACTCAGAAAAGAAGGGAAGCTCAGTAGCTCTGGACCAGCAGCTCTGGCTTCCCCTGGGAGTTTGTTATAAATGCAGAAGCTCAGGTTCTTGACTTGAATCCACATTTTAGTAAGATTCCCAGGTGATTTTTATGTATATTACGGTTTGAGAAACACCATCTAGAGCGTTGATTCTTAACTAAGCTGTATGCTAGAATCACTCGGGAAAACTTAAAAAAGAATTTCAGTGTCCAGGCGGCCCCCCAGACCAGCTGAATCAGGGGCACAGGTGACTTCGTTGTATAGCCCCAGGGAACACTTGTAAGCCTTGGTATAGAAAGAAGACCACCAAGTTTGTTTCCCCTCAGCAACGAATCTAAGAACTAGCAGGACTTAATGGGTCTTTAGACCTATGAAAAATGCTATTAAACATTCAGTCAACAAATAAGCATTGGGCACCTACTATATTCAGGCACTGAGATAGAGAGGGAGATGACACAGACACAGCTCCTGACCTCCCAGCATTTACAGCGTGATGAAGACAGACCTTTTGAGAATAAATGCTGTGTAGTAAATGCTACAGACATGCGGGGCCATGTGGAAGCCCTGGCAGGATGGCAGGACGTGATGGGATGCAGGTGTGCGGGGCTTGACACTTCCGGTTTGTAGGAACAACAACAAAAAAATCACACTATCTTTCTCTGTCCATGCTGGGAGACACTTAAATGGAATTACACAGTGCCTCGATTTCAGACCTGGTTTGGGGTGTTGAAACTTAACTTTCTCTGGTGAGTGATCAGAGATTGGAGCTCAATCAGCTTGGGCAAGAGAGGAGAGGGAGAAGGCGAGGGAGGGGGAGGGGAAGGTGGGAGAGAAAACCAGCCAAGAGCCGAACGGGTGTTTAAGCAGAACTGGAGTATTTCCTCCACATCAAACTGGTGTATGAAGCGCAGCTGAACCAGGCAGGAGTTTGTTACAAGTTAAGGAAGTAGTTCTGCAGTTGCCTCTCACAGAGAAAATCTGGAAGTTTATCTTGAGTGACTTCTCATCTCCTGCAGAAATTTTGTTACAGAGAATTACAGAACTTTTAGTCTAGCCACCTTCTGTTTAATATGCTCCCTAATGGCCACAGCAAGAAGGAGCAATTAGCGAATTCTGGAGTGTTTCCTCCACATCATTGCCCAGAGCTTCTTTATTTAAGTAAGAGGTCCAGCCTGCATTACCAACCAGCTTTTAGCAAATTAAAGCAATTTGCATTTTACAAGCATATTGGAGTTCTACATACATTGCATCTCACACCAAGACATCATGTTCATTAGTTAGCTACGTCTCTAATCAAGGCAGAAGGCCTCTAACCAATAATTAGCCTTGAGACTAGGCTAATTAAAATAATAAATAGATTTGCCAACGCTACTGAGAAATGCCACTGGGGTGTTCTCGTGTGGCATCACTCTATTAATGATGTCAGGTCAAATACGGCTGAAATGAACTTGGGGCATCCATCTCATTTTGGAATTTGTGTATTTGTGTCATTGGTGTATTAGGGTATCACTGCAGCCAAATGCAAAGCACTAGTCCTGAGCTAGTCTTTTCCAAACTTGTTAAACATAAAAATTGCCTGGGGTGCTTATTAGAAAATACATGTTCCATGGCTCTTCCCATTCTGATTGAGCAGAGTGGGGCCCATAAACTTGAATATTTAAATTAAGTGCCTGTGGTGGGTCTTCTAATTGGGAAAGTTTGGAAAACATTGTCCATGGTAACAGTGAGTAGCTAGTGAGAGAGGCTAAGGCATTCTGGGAGAATTTAGGAGTGCGGGTTTTCCGAAGTCTGACCTAGAACATGAGGACTGTCCCCACATCCAATCCCAGGTTATTTCTTGGTCCTTAGGGCTAATGCTTGGTCTCTTCCATTGGCTGCAGCATAGGGCAGAGGCAGCTACTGTGCCTGGCCAGGGCTCTGCTTCGGAAATCCAAGATTCTGATCATGGATGAGGCCACTGCTGCAGTGGATCTCGAGACAGATCGTCTTATCCAGATGACCATCCAAAAGGAGTTCTCCCACTGCACAACTATCACCATTGCTCACAGGCTACATACCATCATGGACAGCAACAAGTGAGTGTGGGGGCGGGGACGGGAGCAGAGCTTGATAGACGCAGCTTAAATACATCAGCCACGTGATATCTTACAGCAGATGGGGTTTACCCATCATTTTACTGATGAAGAAACAGGCTGACAGATTTCAAGTAATTTGCCCCAAATTATACGTATATCAAGCTAATGGAAGCCAACAGGGTTAAGGGAACTAATTATCTCGATAGTAAAGTGGAAGTCTGTGTGGAACAATAACCAAGTATGGGGAGGTGGAGGCTCCAGACCTGAGTGGCAGATACTGACCACAGACCTCCCCAACCAAACTGGGTCTCGCCTGCTGCTCCTGGAAACAGCTTCCTGTTCCTTCCAGCTCTGACAGATTACATTCAAAACGGAGTAACATCAGTAATCTTAGAAACTGTTTGGAGAGGATAGGCTCCCTTAAACAATGTGTATCTTTAAAAAAAAAAAAAAAAAAAAGCTCATGTAAATGGACTCATACTGCATCTATTCTCCTACTACTTGATTCTTTCGATCGACATTACGTATGGAATTCATCCGCGTTGACGTGGTTCATCTGTTCTCGCTGCTCTGTAGCCTTGTATGAATGAATGCACCACAACTTAGTTCTGGTTATTCTTTTAAGTGCCAAAATCTGAGATGCTGCTTTCTAAGACTTGTATTTCCTTCTTTCTTATTTCAGGGTAATGGTTCTAGATCATGGGAAGATTGTAGAGTACGGCAGCCCTGAAGAACTGCTCAAAAAACCTGGCCCCTTTTATTTCATGGCCAAAGAAGCTGGCATTGAAAATGCGAATAGCACGACGTTGTGAAAGCAGGTCCCATGGCTTAGAGAAGGACTATAAGGATCATTCCTTAATTTTATTTTTGGGATGTATATCATACATAGAGAAGTGTGTGTAAATGTACATTTTAAGAGATCATAAGTGAACACCCATGTACCCTCCATCCAAGTTAAAAAAAAGGAATATTACCAGCTACAGCAGAACCCCTAACGATCCCACTTCAATCCTACATCCTTGCTTACCAACCCCCAGAAATAACCACTATTCTGAATTTCTTGATAATTATCCCCTTGCTTTTCATTTTAGTTTTACCAAGTTCATATATATCCTTAAACAATGTGTACCTTTTTAAAACTTATGTAAATGGCTTGTCTCATACTGCATGTGTTCTTCTATGACTTTTGTTCAATGTCATTTGAGACTCATCCATGTTGATGCACTCAGTGAGGTTTGTTCCTTCTCACTGCTCTGCAGTATGGCCGTGTATGAGTACGCCAGTTTACCATTTAAATGTTGGACAGCAATAGGATTATTTCTACGGCTGTTTTTGTTTTTTCCTATTATGAACAATACTGCTATAAACATTCCGGTATATAGTTCCTGAGATACACATGCAAGACTTTCTTAGGCTATAATGGGGAGTATACACATGTTCATATGCGTATACTAGGTAACAGCAAACTGGCAATGCCAATTTAAAACATTTTGTCAAGCTGATGAGTATGAACTGGTACCTCAGTGAGGTTTTAATTTATATTCCTCTGGTTACTATTGAGGTTTCGATTTGAGGTGTTTGCTGTTTTTGTTTTTTTGTTTTTGTTTTTTATCTGTGGTGCTCTATTTCCTTGTAAGCTACTCACTCTCCTTAGCATTTTATCTGTGAACATTCTTTGAGGCCTGCATTGAACCTGAGCTGTCCTAAATGGAATTGTCCGAGTTTTTGGTGTCACGTTATTTTTGGTTCGATGTATTCCTTACGTCCATTTCGGTGATGCAATAATAAACGATTTTTATTTATTCACCATTTTAGCTGTTTGATGAGTGAGATGCTCAGAGATTTAAACTTCCTAATGGAAGGGGATAAATAACCTCAAGGCTGGAATGAGGAAGGGAAGTGTTTCCTCCTAGTTGCTCTGTTCCCATCAGCATCACTCTGACCATGTTTTTCTGCAGTGGCAGTTCATACAAGTAGCAGTGCTGATTGCAGCTGGCAGTTTTTCCAGTATTCCCAGGACCGGTGACATAGTGCTGCTCAGAGACGCCAGCACCAGCTGTGCAGCGCCCCTTCTCAGAAGTCCACGTTTCCGCCTTAGCGATGCCAACCTCTTCCCTTTCTCCCCCGCAGCCCTCACGGGGTTGGTTGCTTCTTGCGGTGGCTGCTCTCTGAACCTTCTTTTCCCTTGGCTCTTTCTTCAGTGCCTACCTAGCAGTTCTTTACATTGTCCTGTTAAAATAACCTATGGTTTCTGTCTCCTGACTAACCCAACTGATAGAGCCCTTGGAGACCATCCAGTTCAAGTCCCTTATTTTTCAGATGAGCACCAATCCGAGAAAGGTTAGAGGATATCCAAAGTCAAAACATGAGTGTTTCTGGCAGAACCAGGACCAGAAACAAATTTCCTGATTTTCTCCAACAATTTCTTCTTTTCCTATCATGAGGATTTTTGATCTACCTACTCCTATGATGCAGATGAAGAGAGGGGAAAGGTCATCCATATCTCAATAGTGATGATTAAGCCACCCGGTGAATGTTGTGGGAACCGGAGCCAGCCCAGACCCAAAACTTCAGTGATGACTCCGACTACTTCAAATCTTGTTGGCCCAGGCCCCAGATAACCCACTCACAACATTCTAGCTCTTTCCCACTTCTCTACCTGAGGTCCCCTTTTTTACCTGTCCTTGAAGCATTAAGATGTCCCTATGCTTTTGACTCCCACTCTATGTTCCTCCGTATTTTCTCCGTAAGTGACTTCATGCACTCTTGTGGTTTCACCTTCTACTCATGATTCTCATTTCTAGTCCCTTCCTCTTCTCCAATTTAGAGATTCATATATTCAACTGCCAGTGGGTGTTATCGCCTGGATATCCTTTAGGCCTCTGACACTCGACTTGCTTTATTTGACATACCCTTCTCCTCCCTTCATCAGAATAAAAGAGAGATTTTTTTCCCCTTGTACTTTCTATTTCAAGTGGTAACATCGTTTTCCACTCAGTCTTACAAAATGAAAACCTCGGCATCACCCCTAACTTTTCCTTTTCCAGACCGCATCGGCCATGAGGCCCTTCCACTTTTCTTTCTTTATCCCCATCACTTTTGCCATCTTTCAGGTTCTCATCACATCTAACCTGTACTGATGGCATAGGTATTGCTGCTTCCTGTATCGTTTTTCTCAGATATATCCACCATGGCTACCAGTGGTCAAATATGCAAATATTTGTATAAACGCCTTTCAAAACACCCTCTGAAGAAACTTGTTCCACTGAGGTACTAGGATGAGAATATATTTAATCATAAATGCACATTGGCTATGACTTTATTTAAAAATTATCAAACAATATTATACAAACATTGACATTTAAATGTCTAAACTTCTGCAACTTAGATTTAGTTAGCAAATACCATATTCAACTGTAAGCATGGATTTAGTCTTCTAAATAGGTTAGACACTAAACTGTTTAAAAAGCTTCATATTGTTTGAAGATATCAAGTAAAAGATTATAAAAATGCATAAAAAAATTAACTGTAAGAAGCACTCCAATTTCATAGTATTCCTTTTCACTTCATATGCAAGTAATTGGTTATGCTGTAGAATTTAGCTGTTACAGTATAAAAAGCAACTACTTAAGGGAGAAGTAGAACAAAGAGGGGAAAAGTTTACGTAGGTGGTATCTCTTTTAGGTAAAACAAGCACAAAGAAATAAGAGTTTCAGGAAGAAAAATTACTTAAGACTAGTTTGGTTCTTACTGAGTTTGAAAAAATGGACTAATACGGAACTCCTTTCTTCAACTGTAACGATCAAGGCCTTAGTTGCCATACTGGTAATCTCTCGGACAGTCACCTCAGCCCTTGCCATGACAGCCATTTGGCTATTCTGCCTGATAACCACTATCACTGATTTCAGATCTTTTTGTCCTGTCCCCAAGCTTCCACTGTGAATGATGAGCTTTTTTTGGAGCAGCATTCTTTGAGACATTTATCTGCTGTTTAAGCCATAGCCACTTGTTCCTGTAGCAATTGTTGAGCTGCCCACAGGTTATATCTCTGGATAGAGATGTCTCTCCCCTTGCTTGGTGCTAACGCCTTTGCCTGCTGGCTCCTTTGTCAGGATTTGCATTTGGCATCATAAAGACACCTCCTAGTCTCATAATTATCTGCCTGGCTGATATACTTATTAGTTTAACTCTGTAAAGCAATTATACTTTGGCTAGCTTTTCATTTTCCTTCATCAAGAGGTTTAATTTTTCTGCATAATTGACTTCATTGTTAATGGTCGACCAGAATCCTTTTGTTTTAGTTGGACCTGGAGTAGGCATAAACTCAAAGGCCAAATCTAGCCTGCTGTTTTGTAAATAAAGTTTTTTTAGAATACAGACATGCTCACTTGTTTCTGTATTATCTATGCCTGCTTTTGTGTTATAATGGCAGAGTTGTGACAGACTGAATGGCCTGCGAAGCCTAAAATATTTACTATCTGGCCTTTCATATAAGCAGCTTGCTGATCTCTGCTCCAGAATCACTAGTATAGTCTGGACTGGATCACATTTCCATTCTCAAGACAATTGGGCGGAAAAATGTCGTGTGACTTCATACCATTGGTAGATAAAATGGTCCCCAAAGATGTCCACATCCTAATCCTCAAAACTCGAGGATTTACCTTACATGGTAAAAGGGATTTTGCAGATGTGATTAAGGATATCGTAATGGGGAGATTATCCAGCTGGGCCCAGTGTCATCACAAGGGATCCTTGAGAGTCAGGAGGGTCAGTTAGAATGAAGAAAATGTGATGAGAAAGAGACACTTGAAGGTGCTATGCTGCTGGCTTTGAAGACAGAGAGGGGCCACAAGCCAGGGAATGCAGGCAGCTTCTAGAAGCTGAAAAAGGGAACAGATTCTTCCCTAGAGCCTCCGGAAGGAACCAGCCCTACTGACACCTTGACGTTAGCCCAGTGAGACTAATTTTGAACTTCTGATCTCCAGAACCGTACAAACTAGTTTCAGGCCACAAATATGTGGTAATTTGTTACAGTAGCAATAGGAAACAAATACAATACCATTAGCCCAAATAGCTCTGGTAAAATCGTCAATATTCTCCAACTGAAGTCAGTATAATGACAATTCATTAATTTCCACTGAATCCCACTATGGTTTGAACTTGTAGAAGATTATGCTATCTTTTAAGCCCCATTCAAAGTGGATTTCAATGTTCATATCTGTCACCCTTCTACCAAATTGCAAAGATCTTATTGAGCTTAGTCATATTTAGAGATCTTTTCTTGATCTCCATTGAGAGGCTCTAGAAAAGTCCCTGGTTAAGGTCCCTGATTGGGAATCTGTCAGCTTCCCTGACCCTGGACCTGAGGAGTAGCTGCTGTGGGAAAAGCTTGGTGTCCTGGGGAGGCCCAGCCATGGCAGTGCACAGACAGTGCCTTATGACATGGTCCTGCTGTCTGCTGCAGGGTCCCACATCTGCTCCCAATGTTTCCTGAATGAAAACATTGCTGCTGCCCTAATCAGAGGGGTCGCTCCCTCCGACCACCACACCACTGGAACTTACCTCTGGGAAAGCACTACGTCTGCTCCTTTCTTCTTGAGGGTCACCTCTGAATGGCGGTAAGAAATGGATAGGCCTGCAGGGTAGCTAGCGAAGTCTGCAATTTGTTGTGGAAAGCTCCCTTCTTCATACGTGCAGAGCACTAATGTTGATCTTCACTAACAATTGCAAGAAACTTCCATGGGCTTGGTGAAATAAAGCAGGGGCTCAGATGGGGGATTATTATCCTGCGCCATGGCACCGAGCGTCTGCCACAGTAGCAAAGGTAAAATAGTAAAAATTTCAACAGGTGGGAGAGTTTAAAATCCTCTGAGTAGTGTGACTTCATACCGTGACTAGAGGATTTAGAATGACATATCAATCTCAAGGTTTCTTGGTCTTCAAGCTTAAGGTTCTGCAAGTGAAACAGAATTCAGACCTGGTGTTTTTCCAGGACCTGTTTGTATTCTTGACCCTGAAGAAAAGCCCACGTAAACAGTCTCAGCTTTGCAATTAATTCAAACAAGGTGACACAAAATTTAGCCCTTATTAAAGCTGTGTACTTCTCGAGCTCACAGTGCACAGACTTGCAGACGTTATCTTATTTATTCTCAGAGCAACCTCGAGGCCAGAAATCTACAATTTACAGATGACAATAGATTCCCACCCCGCACCCCACCAACTCCTTCCCCGTTCTTCTAGGACTCTTGCATGAAAGCACAACAGAAGAGCTACTTCCAAACAGGAAAGGGAGAAAATTCATGGGAGGAAGTAAGCGGGCAAATCGGATTTAGAATTTTTCTTCAATAGTATTTCCTTCTGTTGTGTCTGAAATATCTGACACCCTTTTCTTTCCTTGGTTTTCGTAACTCCTACTTTTTTGACAGTAGAAAAATCCAGTAAAAAAACTCGCCTGGACAGATACTTCTCAAATTTTAATGATACACAAACAACCTGAGGACCTGGCTCAGTAGACCTTGGCTGGGTCATTTCCAGCAAACTCCCAGGTCATCATGATGGTGATGCTGCTGGTCTGCAGAGCACTCTTGTAGGACTGAGACCTAGCAGACGTCCAGTGTTTAAAACAAATCCATCTTCTTTTCAATCACTTGCTCCCACGCCAATCGTCTCCCTTTTGCCAGTAATTCCATCATTTCTTCAATTTTATATTCTTTATAGGATGACTTTTTCCATTCTCAAGTAATCTTATCTCCAAATCAATTAACTTTTCCCCAATAATTAGGTTTTCTTGCCTTTAATCTCCCTCCCTCCACATTATCCTGTTGCCATTTAGTTTTCCTGAAACAGGTGATTCACTGAAGAATCTAGTTTATTACCAGGCTCATAAAATCTAAATTCCTTGACTTGGACCTCAGGCTTTCTAATTTGTTTACTATGTGCCAGGCGATGTTGTAGTCTCTCCACGCACAACCTCATTCAATCCTTACCATTCACATGAGGTGGATAGTATTACTATCTCTAGATGAGGAAACTGAAGCGCAGATTAGGTAAGTTGCCAAGGTTACAAAGCTCTTAAGTGTCTGAAGTCAGACAGTCTGGCTCTAGAACAAGGTGTAAAGACTCAGCTAAAGAGCCCAAGGCCCAAGTTTAAATTCAGGATCCATCAAAAACTTGATCTATGAGTTGACTAAGTCACAACGTCGTTGGATCCCATTTTCTTAGTACATAAAACGAAAGAGTTAATCTATGTTTCTCTCCCAGAGTCTACCTACATAACCATGTTTTCTACCCCAATATCAGATTGCTTCACTGTCACCCACATTGTCCTCAATCCCACCTCTGCCAGTTGTCCTGCTATATCAGCCCCAATCTTGCCCAAGCTGCTACCGTGACCTCGTTCATCTCTAGTGCATCAGTTTCCACCTCTGTAATATCAGGAAAATACTAACCTCTTAGGAATTCCAGATTAGAGAATTCGACTTTTCTGCTTTTCTAGGATTTTATAGTATAAAATTGTTTAAAATAAAAAGGCAATCGCCTGCAGCATGAATATCTCTTTACAGTAATTCCGTTGATATTATATTTGACAAATGAATTTTTTACTTGAATTTCTTCCTTTAGTCCCTTCCATCACCCGGAATTTGGGCATCACTTAATTATCAGGAAGGTATCCTCAGAAATCCAAGAGGAAGGTTCAGGCTAAATGTGGAGGGAAATCAAGAAAACATACTCGTGGCCCTTAGAAATGTTTTTATTTATAAAATAACTACTTCAATATAAACATCTCTCTATATAAACACTACTCACAAGAGGCTCGCATCACTGCCTTCCAACCGACCTGCAGACACGCGAGGGCTCAGGAGTCCACAGGCATCTCCCAAATTGTCAGGATTTTTAGGCCAAAGGTGTGCTTGGAGGAGCAGGGGCTATAAGGCTGTTCTTAATTCCCTTTCTTAAGATAAAATTCATAGTTTCCTGTTCCAAGGTAGGCTTCATATCTGTGGCAGACCTTAAATAAGAACCTTCAGGAGGACAGTCTTTGTGTGAGGATTAGCAAATCTCTTCCTGAGGCCGAAGAAAGGTATGATTGGGCACTTTAGGGTCCAGAATACTAAAGTGACATCACAGAACCTATTTGATCAGGCACTTTGAAATCTGTTTGGCTTAGGCTGTGGTCTCTGAAGCATGAAACAGAAAATACTTATTTCGAAGTCCAGGATAAGCTACTTCAGGGACTGCTTATCCTAAGTCGAATGAGACACACTCATTATGTCTTCGGCATCTGTGGGCAGTAGCATGCTTGGATGAAGGAGAAAGGCATCCAGCCATCCACCAGGCTGGAATGGTTTCAGTTCACTGTAGAGTGAATCCTTTCAATGAAATGGGTGGAGCTCTGACCCTGTTCTAGGAAAATCAATGTTATCGGGTTGTAGGAGAGAGGGCCAAGACAGGTTATCACGCACAGACCATATAAAGCAGAGATGACTGTCAGAAAGGTGTAGATGACTGTACCTAAAAGGAAAGAGAATCTTTCAGATGAAGGTTGAAGGAAAATAAAGACCTTTCTCCTTTTAAAAAGGAGAAAGAAAGCAGTTGAATTTTGCACAAGCAATCTGGAAATACAGTGAAATGAAGAAAAGGATTACAGACGGTAGCATTTTAAGGACTTTTAGAAATTCGTGTGTGTGTGTGTGTGTGTGTGTGTGTGTGTGTGTGTGTGTGTGTGTGTGTGTGTGTGTGTGTGTGTGTGTGTGTGTGTGTGTGTGTGTGTGTGTGTGTGTGTCAATGTGTGCTAGACACTGAAGCTTTGAAACACCGGAATTGGTACAATCCAACAAACTCCTTGCCACAGGCAGAGGCGTGGCCTAAAAGGGCTTCCGGAGGATTCTCTTCATCCAAATCGGTTTCTGGTCAGGTGATTGTGGAGCACGGAGCCACCCCAAACTCAGTATGGTACAACCAACACCAATATCTTCTAATGCTACTTGCACAGCTCCAGCATACATAGGATGCTGGTCTTCTAATTGAACATTTCTCATGTCCATAGAATGACCCCAGGACTTGCCTCTCTCCTCATCGTCACTGAATTATTTTCAAGCCCAGGGTCCACTTCAAATTCTAGAAATTCTAGTGAGCATCAAGGTTGACAACCCAATCGAGGAGAACAAGACTGATCTTGTGCCCCACTGTGGCCTGGTTTAAGCAATGCAAACAGGGCCTGTCTCCAGAGTAGGTGCCCTCCCAGTGGACCACCGAAGCCCTTCGGCAGAAGGAAGCGAGGGCAGCAAGGTTGAGTGGAAGGCAGAGCAGGTTCAGGTGTACTCAGTTTTGCGAATATAATTGGATGGAACATAGCCCTTCTTCCCATTAACTTCAGCTAACCACCACTCTGTATTTCCTGTAACATCTTTAAACTCCAGAATCTTGAGTCTCTGATTGGCTGACACACTCAGCTCATTTGGGTTCCGCGCCTTGAAGGTATAGACAGCAAAATAGACCTGTGTGATGGAGAAAAACATAAGTCAGGCCACGGGAACCTTCTTGGAGCCACAGAACTCCTTGGAGGATGGGGATGGTCTATATCTACACCATCCAATATGGCAGCCCCTAGCCACATGTGCCTGTTGAACACTTCTCACGTCTAATAAGACAGAGGAACTTAATTTTTAAGTTCTATTTAATTTTAACTAATTTAAATTATATCTTTATCTGCTACATATGGTTGGTGGCTACCATAACGAACCAAACAAATTCAAAGAA